TATATCGCACCCTGACTGGCTCATCTCCTCCCCGAAACCCTTCTGTAAGGGGATGTCCAGTGGCCTACAAATGGCCTTTGGGTCTCCACTCCACACTCCCACCCTCATTCACTATGGTAAGATATATCAAAAGATATAGCGTCTGGGGTCTTAAAGGCTTGAAGGTAAACAAGTGGCTATCTAGCTCAGAAGCATCAAAGCCCACATGGAAGAAGCACACCAGCCTGTGTGATCACGAGGTTATCAGACATCAAACAACAAAAAATCACATCATTGTGTGCTCACCTCCATGATTAGATCGCTGAAGACAAATGGGTGCATAAGCAAAGGTGGTGAAGATAGCTGATGGTGCCCGGCTATCAAAAGATATAGTGTCTGGGGTCTTAAAGGCTTGAAGGTAAATAAGTGGCCATCTAGCTCAGAAGCAACAAAGTCCACATGGAAGAAGCAAACCAGCCAGTTCAATCACAAGGTGTTGAAGGGATCAGTTATCAGGCATCATCAGAACAAAAAAAGACTGGGTTTTTAATTATAATTTTATCCCCCTATGAGCTGTTAACTCTGGAAGCTTACCTTTTGCTAGTCACTTCTTCTAGTTTTCAGTAGCTCCTCAGAATATGCCTGTTTTTTTAATCATCCTTCAATGCCATTAAGTAGTTAAGTATTTTGTTTTTGTTTTATCCAGATTTTAATGTTGCTATCCATAGGAGACTTGGTCCAATAGGAGCCTATTTCTGATAACTTATATTTATTTTAACTTGTAAACCTGAGGATAATTGGCTAAGAGCTTTTTTGAGTACAACTGTAAGAGGAAAAGGAAGGGAATGGGAAGCAGCAGAGTCAGACATAGGAACGTGAACATGGCAGAGCTCCTAATGCAAAGTCCAGAAATCCATGTGAGTGAGATGTGAGAGCTACTTCCTGGCATAAAGTACTTCCTAATATGGAAAAGATATGCAAGAGTCATAGACTTCCCAAGTCCTGGTTATGGAGAGAAGGCTTTTAATTAGGACACCGTAGACTACACTGTCTGGTTTTCCTTTGCCATATGAGTGCCAGTATGTCAAAGACAGAGTACTCTGAGGTTTCGTTATATGCCACCGCCCCCAAATCTGCTTTACCTTATCCTTAAGCATGTTTATATCCTCAACATTTTGAAGGCTTTTCCATCTCAAAAGTATACCCTTTAACCATAGGAAATTCGCAACATTCACAATGATGAACTAATGGGAATCAGGCGAGAAGAAGAAATGGAAATGTCTGACGATGAAATAGAGGAAACAACAGAAAGAAAAGAAACTGAGGAATCAGGTAAGAATAAGTTTGCTTTGTTTTATTTAGGTAACATACAGTAATAGAATTAATATTTAAAATATTTAATATCCAGGCGCCTTCAATCAAACTGCATGCCAACTAAAAACAATGGGTAAGGCCATACAAGTACACATTGGGTGAATAGCAGCCATCGGGTTACAGGATTTTCCATTATCTTCACTTTTTCCCATCTTTCATTTCAGCACTTGGGCTGCTAACAAGCAGTTTAAAGCCACCATGTGGAGAAAGATGAGGCTTTCTCCCCCTGTTAATATTTACAGAGTCAGAAATGAACCAGGGCAGTTCTCCTTTGTACTGTGGGATCACCATGAGTTCCAAGAAGCACTTAAGGGATATTACTCTATTTGGTTTTGGTTTTTTAATAATATTCTGTGGGAGAAACCATTTGGAAACATATTCATAAATAAGTAGTCGACCTTTGGGAGAAAATAATTAGATCCCTAGTTCACTTAATACCTTCACCCATATTAATTATAAATGGATTTAAGATTGAAATGCATGAAAAAATACATATACATAAAAACTCACTGCCATGAGGGTGAATCAAATTCATAGTGACCGTATGGGACAGAGTGTAATTGTTCCCTAGAGTTTCCGAGGCTGTAAATCTTTATCAGAGCAGACACCTTCATCTTTTTCCAACAGAGAGTCTAGTGGGTTTGAACTGCTGACCTTGTGGTTAGCAGCCCACACATAACTGACCACGCCACCAGAGTTCCTATATATGCATATAATGGAAGAAAATATAGAAACTATATTGAGGTTAGTTATGTAATTTGGGGTCAAAAGTCATCAGTGTTAGAAATCCTAAATGAAAATTATGATAAATTTGCATAAAATTAAACATTTCTGAACAAATAAAGATATAAAAGATCATCTAGAAACAAAGAGGAAATAACTATAACATATCAGTCGGTCTGTCTGCTGTCTTCTGTTGTGGTTGCTTGAGAATATTCTGGGAATCAAATGGAAGTTCACAAACAGTTGTATAGATAAAGGTTTTTAGAACTTCACTGTCAAGGAGAAGTCACAGTATGGGTTCCTGGTAGAACCCATATGGCAAATCTATCAAACAATGAGACACCACCCAAACCCTTCAGTTTTATAATGAAGTATCTTCAGGGGAATTGCCTGAAGAAGAAGAAAATATAAACTAAAAGAGCAATTCTTTCAGCTAAACCATTCCAGCCATTCTGGTTAGTGGTGATGTTATATGCCATTGGATCGATTTCAACTCACAGCCACCCTATATGACAGAGTCAAACTGATCCCTGGACTTTCTAGGCTGTCATCTTTAAGGGAGCAGATCGCCAGGTCTTGTCCCCTGTAGTCAGTCATAGGCTTCTGTAAGATACAGTGGAAAAATCACTGAACTGAAAGTTAGAGTACCATAATGCTATTGCCTGCTCTGGCATTGACTTCATCCCTACTGAGTCACAGCCTTCTTTGTAAGAAGTACCTTATAAAATCTAAGGTCTGTGTATACTCGTATATAAGCCGAGTTTTTCAGCACATTTTTAATGCCGTTTTTGTGGTAAATTTAGGTGCCTCAGCTGATATTCGAGTTGGCTTATACTCGAGTATATATGGTCTGTAATGGGTGGTTCAATGAGCTCATTCATTCAATAACTGTTTTTGAATGTCAGGCACTGTGCTAGACATTGAACATACAATAATAGACTGACCCTGCCCTTAAGAAACTCAGTATCTTGTGAAGCTCCTACCATAGTGCCTGGTACATAGTACATACTCAATAAATGTGGTGTGTGTGTGTGTGTGTGTGTGTGTGTGTGTGTGTGTGAGAGAGAGAGAGAGAGAGAGAGAGAGAGAGAGAGAGAGAGAGAGAGAGAATATAGTTCAAATCTAAATCTCCAGGCTCCTGTACTTGGATATTCAAGGTTCTATAGCCATTTTAGTGACCCTATACTCCACCTCATTAATAGAAATTCTTAAAGAATGCAAACCTCAAAGTCAGATTTTTTAGCTGTTACATCTGAGTTTCCACCACTGTGCCATATGTTAGATCCCTAAACCTACAGCAATCATCTATGTTTAATAAGCCCTTTGCCATCACTGGATAGTTTGCATTTCCAGAACACTAATTACAACAAATAAATGCTATCAATTTAGAGACAAAATAAACAAGAGTTCAATAATAATGGAGCTATTCAAATTATTGATTTGCTTAGCCAGGATGTTTTATAACTAACTAAGCTTTGACTAGGGCATTGTCTCCATTGCAGTATCTGCAGTATGTCTAGAGTGTTTATCCAGTGTTATGAAATAAATGCAACTAAAGTTTGAGCATGCACTTGATAAATTATTGAGTTTGCGAAGTTATTGGTGGGAGGAAAGGAATATATGGGAGATTCATATTGAATGCATGTAGAGGAGATCAAAGTACTCAGCTGCTAACCTAAAGATTGGTGGTTCAAATCCACCAGCCATTCTCTGAGAGACAATATGACAGTCAGCTTGCATTAAAATGTACAGCTTTGTAAACATATGGGGCATTTCTACTTTGTCCTATACTGTTTCTATGAGCGAGAATCGACTCAACAGCAGTGGGGTTTTGTACAATTGCATTTTGCTTTTGTATCTCTTTCGAGTTAAAAGTTGTATTGGCTACTGCACAGAATCTTATTCGTTTAGAGACCGGGAACTCCCTGACAGATCATCTTATAGCTATTTTCTTTCCTGTTCCACATGCCAGCATGCTGCTTTGTCAAATAAAGCTATCCACAATAGACTTAATGGAGCTTACCAAATAGCTTTTCTCCCAGAAGATTTCTATTCATTTTAATTCAAGGACTTTTGTGCATTTTTCTTCCCCTCGATCGTATCTAATTTTGTTATCTCGCTGCTGTAGTACTCAAGTGCAGACATCCTGCTCAGTGTGAGCCAGTGAGTGGGTCCTCAGTTTTTAACTAAAACAGCTGCATGTTTTAGCTATCACTTGGCTCCAATTAAAAGCTTAAGAAAGTAGATCTCAGAATTGTCATTTCTTCTCTCCATGGGGCCCAATCCTCCATTCCAGGAGCCCATAGCATGTTTCTTGTCAGATTTGACTTCCCAGAGGACTTAGGAGTCAAAATCAACTCTAGCAGTCTCAGGTGCTTTCCTTGGCTTACCACAAATTACTATATTTCAAGAGACTCTAAACTAGCCATCCCATATTTGAGATGCAGGAACTTGAAAGACTTGCAATACTGCTTTCATGGAAGAAGAGACCGCTATCCTCAAAGAAAAGTGTTGAAGAGGGAGAATCACATCAAAGCAAATAATGTTACCATGGCATTATTTCATTATATTGTTAGGCATGATGGAGAGTACACATACCCAGTAAACATAAGAATATTCAGTATTTATCTTCTGCCTTCTTCATTTAGACTAATGGTTCTCAGATTTGATATACATGGGAATCACTTGGGATACTTTTAAAATTTCAGAATTCTGGGCTCTAGGATCTGATTCAGTAGATCTATAGTAAAGTTGCATTTTATCAGGCACCTTAAATACCTTAAATTATTTAGATGCTTGTGGTCCACAGAGCATGATTACATGAGCTAGCTAGCTAGATAGATGTGTGTGTGGTTATTATTAAGTGCCATCAAATTGGTTCAGCTCACAGCAACATATAGATTAGAATGAAGCACGGCCAGGTCCTGTGCCATCCTCCTAATTGTTATTATGTTTTTGAGCCCATTGTTGCAGCCACTGAGTCAATCAATCTCATTTAGAGTCTTCCTCTTTGTCACTGCCTTACTTTTTCATTCAGGATGTTTTCTTTCCAAGAATTTGTCTCTCTTGACAACATGTCCAAAGTGCATGTCTCATCATCCTTGCCTTTAAGGATCATTCTGACTGTAATTTTTCCAAGACAGATTGGTTTATTCTTTTGGCATTCCATGGTACTTTCAGTACTCCTCTCCAGGACCATAATTCAAACGCATCCATTTTTCTTTGATCTTCTTCATTCAATATCCAACTTTCACATGCAGAGAAGGCAATGGAAAATACTATGGCTTGAACCAGGCACAGCTTAGTCCTCAAAGCAGCATCCTTGCTTTTCTATACCCTAAAGGGTTCTTGTGCAGCAGATTTACCCAATGCAAAGCGTCTTTTGATCTCTTGACTGCTGCTTCCATGAGCATTGATGGTGGATCAATACTTGACAATTTCAATGTTTTCTCCATTGAAAATGATTTAGTTGTGAGAATTTTGGTTTTCTTTATACTGAGTTGTAATCCATATTGAAGGCTGCTATCCTTGATCTTTAGCAGCAAGTGCTTCAAGTCCTCCTCATTCTCAGCAAGCTAGGTTGTGCTATCTGGATATCGTTAATAAGCATTTCTAAAAACATGATGCCACATTATTCCTCATATAGTCCAGCTCCTCTGATGATTGATTCAGCATACAGATTGAATAAGTATGGTGAGGGGATACAACCCTGACACACACACCTTTCCTGATTTCAAACGATTCCCTTCTTTTATTTGAACAATTTCCTCTTGGTCCATGTATGGTTCCACCTGAGCACAATAAGTTGTTCTAAAACTCCCATTCTTATCAAGGCTATCTATAGTTTGTTATGATCCATACAGTTGAGTGCCTTTGCATAGTCAATAAGATACAAGTAGTTATCTTTCTACTATTTTCTGCTTTCAGCCAAAATCCACCTGATATCAGCAGTGACATCCCTTGTTTGTTCCATGTTCTCTTCTGAATCCATATGAATTTCTGGCAGCCCCTTGTTGATATATAGCTGAAACTATTGCATGATCTTCAGCAAAATTTTTTTTGCATGTTATACTAACTATATTGTTCAATACTTACCACATTCTGTTGGGTCACCTTTCTTTGGAATGGGTCCAAATATTGATCTCTTTAAGTGAGCTGGCTTCCAAATTTCTTTGCATAGATGAATGTCTCATAGTACTTCATCAGCATGTTGAAATATTTCCATTGGTATTCCA